GAATAGATCCCTGGTTACTTTTTCTTTTAAGAGGTCTTCACAGACAGACAGTGACCAAGACTGGGATAGGCCTGTGGATAATGAACTGATTCTATTCCAGTTACAAAGGGGGTTCAACAGGGCTGTCTTTTAGCCCTTTTCTTCATAATTTTATATTGATGATTTTGTTCTAGCATTAAAACGGGCTCGGTATTTCCCCCCGTAAAACCATGAATCACACTGTGACTATCTTTTTATATGCAAATATGGTTTTACTGTCACAGGCACCTTTGTGATTGAAGTGTTTTTTAAATGTGTTTGGTTTATACTCACAATGGGAAGGTCTCTTGATAAATTATGCCAAAGATAAAGTAATTGTCTTTAGTCAGAGACGGAGGTTGCATAAATGGAAGTTTGATGGCATTATATTGAACAAGTTAGCTCTTTTGGCTATCTGGGTATCTGGTTCTCACAAAATGGCTTGTGGGATAAGCATATTCAGGTAACAAAAGAGAAGGTCTCAGATTCAGTGCAACAGTGTTAACATTTTATCTGGACTTCTGGGGTCAATTGAAGTGCACTAGGCCTTAGAGTGTTTGAGGCTAACGTATAAGCTCAAATTTTCTATGGCACAGAAATGTGGGGGTAGAATGAGCCCATGGGGCTGGAAGTGATTCCATACAAATTTCTTAGGAAGATTTTTGGTCTGCCAGATAATACTGCAGTCATCCTCCTTAGAGCTGAGACAAGTATGAACTCTATGCTGTCCAAAGTCCTAAATTGTAGCGTTAATTTTTGGATTTGAATAGGATGTACCCACAGCATTTGCCAAGGTTATACTTAGAGGAACAGCTCAGCAGGACTCTCTCTCATAAATTTCCTTGGTTAGAGCATATTCAAAATTCTTTGCATTCTCTAGGTTTCACAGAATGGAAATGATTAGATTTAAGTTTAAAAAGGTGAAATCCATGATCAAATCAGGAATAGAGGATATTAATAAGCAATTGGATATGGCAGTTGTCTCTATTTCAGATGTCATCGTGGTTTCTCCTTGTTAAAAAAAAGACATATAGTTATGCCAGATATTTAGACAGTCTGTGTAATAACACACTGCCTTCACAGCTCTCCATTACCTGTCCATGCAGACAGCTTATTTAGAAGGCTGGTATGCTGGAATTGAGAATTTTAACTGCCTTTGTCCATGTAGTTTAGGGCATGTGGAAGATCTATCCCATCATTTATCACACTGTAATTTGGATTGCCACTTGAGGTTAAAAAGCTTTCTATATTTTTGTCCTGGATGCCTTGTTTTGTGACCTCTCAAAAAATAGATTTCAGAGTAGCAGCCTTGTTAGTCTGTATCCGCAAAAAGAACAGGAGTACTTGTGGCACCTTAGAGACTAACAAATTTATTTGAGCATAAGCTTTCATGAGCTACAGCCCACTTCATCGGATGCAGTGGAAAATACAGTAGGATGATTTTATATACACAGAGAACATGAAACAGTGGGTGTTACCATATACATTATAACGAGAGTGATAAGTTAAGGTGAGCTATTATCAGCGGGAGAGAAAAAAAACCTTTTGTAGTGATAATCGAAATGGGCCATTTCCAGCAGTTGACAAGAACATGTGAGGAACAGTAGGGGGGAAAAATAAACATGGGGGAATAGTTTTACTTTGTGTAATGACCAATCTTATTTAATCTTTTTATTACTGACTTCAGCACAAAAAGTGAGTGTGTGCTAATAAAGTTTGCGGCTGATACAAAGCTGGGAGGTATTGCCAATTTAGAGAAGGACCGGGATATCATATAGGAGGATCTGGGTGACCTTGTAAACTGTAGTAATAGTAATAGGATGAAATTTAATAGTGAGAAGTGTAAGGTCATGCATTTAGGGATTAATAACAAGACTTTTAGTTATAAGCTGGGGATGCATCAATTAGAGGAAGAGAAGGACCTTGGAGTATTGGTTGATCACAGGATGACTATGAGCCACCAATGTGATATGGCCGTGAAAAAATCTAATGCAGTCTTGGGATGCATCAGGCGAAGTATTTCCAGTAGAGATAAGGAGGAGTTAGTACCATTATACAAGGCACTGGTGAGACCTCACCTGGAATACTGTGTGCAGTTCTGGTCTCTCATGTTTAAGAAGGATGAATTCAAACTGGAACAGGTACAGAGAAGGGCTACTAGGATGGTCTGAGGAATGGAAAATTTGTCTTATGAAAGGAGACTCAAGGAGCTTGGCTTGTTTAGCCTAACCAAAAGAAGGTTGAGGGGAGATATGATTGCTCTCTATAAATATATCAGAGGGATAAATACCGGAGAGGGAGAGGAATTATTTAAGCTCAGTACCAATGTGGGCACAAGAACAAATGGATATAAACTGGCCATTAGGAAGTTTAGACTTGAAATTAGACAAAGGTTTCTAACCACCAGAGGAGTGAAGTTCTGGAATAGCCTTCCAAGGGAAGCAGCGGGGGCAAAAGACCTATCTGGCTTCAAGATTAAACTTGATAAGTTTATGGAGGAGATGGTATGATGGGATAACATGATTTTGACAATTAATTGATCTTTAACTATTCACAATTGATCTTTAACTAAATAGGCCCAATGGCCTGTAATGTGATGTTAGATGGGGTGGGATCTGAGTTACTACAGAGAATTCTTTCCTGGGTATCTGGCTGGTGAATCTTGCCCATATGCTCTGGGTTCAGCTGATCACCATATTTGGGGTCGGGAAGGAATTTTCCTCCAGGGCAGATTGGAAGAGGCCCTGGGGGTTTTTCACCTTCTGTAGCATGGGGCACGGGTCACTTGCTGGAGGATTCTCTGCATCTTGAAGTCTTTAAACCACGATTTGAGGACTTCAATAGCTCGGACATAGGTGAGAGGTTTATCGCAGCAGTGGGTGGGTGAGATTCTGTGGCCTGCATTGTGCAGGAGGTCGGACTAGATGATCGTGATATCCCTTCTGACCTTAATATCTATGAGTCTAATCCACTCCCAGTCTTTATTCAAGCCTAATTTAATGGTGTCCAGTCTGCAAATTAATTCCAATCCAGCAGTCTCTCGTTGGAGTCTGTTTTTGAAGTTTTTTTTGTTGTAATATTGTGACTTTTAGGTCTATAATCGAGTGACCAGAGAGATTGAAGTGTTTTCCAACTGGTTTTTGAATGTTATAATTCTTGACGTCTGTGTGTCCATTGATTCTTTTACGTAGAGACTGTCCAATTTGGCCAATGTACATGGCAGAGGGGCATTGCTGGCACATGATGGCATATATCACATTGGTAGATGTGCAGGTGAACAAGCCTCTGATAGGGTGGCTGATGTGATTAGGCCCTATGATGGTGTCCCCTGAATAGATATGTGGACACAGTTGGCAACGGGCTTTGTTGCAAGGATAGGTTCCTGGGTTAGTGCTTTTGTTGTGTGGTTGCTGGTGAGTATTTGCTTCAGGTTGAGGGGCTGTCTGTAAGCAAGGACTGGCCCGTCTCCCAAGAGTGAGAGTGATGGGTCGTCCTTCAGGATAGGTTGTAGATCCTTGATAATGCGCTGGATGGGTTTTAGTTGGGGGCTGAAGGTGATGGCTAGTGGCGTTCTGTTACTTTCTTTGTTGGGCCTGTCCTGTAGTAGGGGACTTCTGGGTACTCTTCTGGCTCTGTCAATCTGTTTCTTCACTTCAGCAGGTGGGTATTGTAGTTGTAAGAATACTTGATAGAGATCTTGTAGGTGTTTGTCTCTGTCTGAGGGTTTGGAGCAAATGCGGTTGTATCATAGAGCTTGGCTGTTGACAATGGATCGTGGGGTGTGGTCTGGATGAAAGCTGGAGGCACGTAGGTAAGTATAGCTGTCAGTAGGTTTCCGGTATATGGTGGTGTTTATGTGCCCATCGCTTATTAGCACTGTAGTGTCCAGGAAGTGGATCTCTTGTGTGGACTGGTCCAGGCTGAGGTTGATGGTGGGATGGAAATTGTTGAAATCATGGTGGAATTCCTCAAGGGCTTCTTTTCCACGGGTCCAGATGATGAAGATGTCATCAATGTAGCGCAAGTAGAGTAGGGGCATTAGGGGACGAGAGCTGAGGAAGCGTTGTTCTAAGTCAGCCATAAAAATGTTGGCATGCTGTGCAGCCATGCGGGTACCCATAGCAGTGCTGCTGATTTGAAGGTATACATTGTCCCCAAATGTGAAATAGTTATGGGTGAGGACAAAGAATATTTGTTAGGAATGGTGTGTCTGTGATTCAAGCAGTTGCCCTATTTGCATGGTTAGCCACTAAAATAAGGCAAAAGCAAGTGGCACGGTGATCATATACTCATTAATGATGTATGTCCTTTTTAAAATCTGTATTTATGAGTATTGTAATATATTATAATTTTGGCTTTAGTTTTAAGTTTTGTTGTACTATTTTTTTTTCTGCACTGGCCCAAGGCCAAGGTGCTGTTAATAAACTACTATGAATTTTAATTTCTAATAAATCTTGGGTTTGCTCATCCATAGGGGCCTGTGGAGAACAGTACCATGCTGACTCTGCTCCACATCTCACTGATAGAGTATATTGTCCTCAGTGAAAAGGTTAATTTAAGTTTGACAATGAGAAGGAAAAGGGAAGCAATGTAGTTATATATGTCTAATGTATGAGTTGGCTTATTCATTAACTGTTTTTTTTAGTACAGAACAGCTAGTTCATTCTGATCTGCAGTCCTAAAGAATCATAAAAACTTAGTTTCTTATTGTAATGATCTGTTAAACATCAGGTTTTATATCTTAACTGTGAAGGTGAAGAAGAAGAATATCTTGAAAGGGTTATTTGAAAGCTTTGTTAGCCTATTTTTAGACTTATAAAATCTATACTGGGTGTGAATATTAAGAAGGCTATTGGAAACAGCCACCCCTTTAAGACCACATTACATATAATATTTGTGCCTTTAAATTACTTTATTGAAATTACTCCTTTGGATGTAGTAATGAGGAAAGACTGTTCATTAACTCTGCACTTCTGTTGTAGTAATTCAGGAAACAAGAAGTATGCCTCAAAACTATTGTGGATTAAAACTGTTAAAGAGGAGGACCTGAAGTGTAATTATACCTGCCTCTTGAAAACTACAAATAAACCACAATTTAAAATATTTAAACTGAAGAAAGGTACAGTATGATATAATACTCTTACTTCTGCTATTTAATGACTTACAAATACTATGTGTAGGCTTGGAAGCATTAAATTTTTATTGGTAAATGTCAATTTCACTGTACACACAAAAATTGATGACAATATATTTCCATCGATAATAATCAAAACACATGGCTAGGCAAAGTAAGAAAAATGCTGCTTGAGAACTTATTAAAACTTGATTTAAGGATATTTACTATGTATATTTTGACATGTGAAGTTAATGATTTGTATTTTAATGGTTATAAAGCTTTGACTTTTTGAATCTCAAAGTCTACTATTGTTAAAACTTGTCTGAACCCCTCCCCATAATTTCCTACAACTATGAAAATTTAAATCCGTAAAAATAAAAAAATGCTTAAAAATAAACATTGACATCATCCATTGAAATTATTCCCCCACCCCCGAATTATGCCAAGCCTAACTATATCCTTTAAGAATCAGCACTTTTTAAGGTAAAGCCTGGGGAGGGGTATTTCTCTGCATCCCTATTAGTACCCCCAAAGATCTCATCTCCACCATTTCCTCCTATGGATCTCCTTCTGGCTGAGGAAAACTGGTTTCAACACTACATGGCACATATGTTGTCATGGTTACTGGGCTAACTACACCACTGTCCCTTCTCAGGGTCTCTCTGAGTGGGTCCCAACTTAGTAGTTACAGAAGTAGATTTAAAATAAGAGTCCTACAGGCATATTCCCTTACCTAAGCATAACCTCTCTATCGATAGCTCAGGCAGGCCTGGCTTATTCCCCCCCTCTGAGTTCACAGAAGCATCCTACACTGCTTGCGGTCTTCTCCCTCTGTCTCTGTGGGTATGTCTACATTACAATCACAGGGTGAGATTGCAACTCGAGTAGACCTATCTGAGCTAGCTTTAAAATAGCAAGTGAAGCTGCAGCAGCATGAGCTTCAGTACCGTCTAATTCCACAAGAAATTACCCAGGATCCCAGGTGGATTTAGACAGCCCATGCAGAAGTGCATGCTGTCACAGCTTCACTGCTCCAGTATCCAAGCTATCTAGATTACAGCTAACTTGGGTATGTCTACTCGTGACTACAGTGCAGACATACCCTGTGTCTCTCTCATACTGAGAAGGTGGGTGCGTTAATATCTTTTATTGGACCAACTTCTGTTGGTGAGAGAGATGAGCTTTCGAGCTTACACAGAACTCTTCTTCAAGCTTGTCTCTCTCACCAACAGAAGTTGGTCCAATAAAATACATTTGTACCTCACCCACCTAGTCTCACTAATATCCTGGGACCAACACAGCTGCAACAACACTGCATAAAGATATCTCAGTCAGACTGTCAGCCTTTTCACTGACATATCCTGGCCTGGATAGAGCTAACTAGGTCAATTCTCCCACCAACTGACGGGCCAGCCATTGTTCTCTTCTAACTCCTTTGAATCTGTGTATGTGAGGATCACTTATCTCTGTCATCGCCTCACCTTTCCTCCCAGGTTCTATAATAACCCCTTTACAGCCTCCTGTGGTTTAGCTCTATTCAGTCAAGCAGCATTACAAAGCTGAATGGGGAAACTGAGTAACACACAATATTTGTCAAGTGTGACATTTTGGGGTTCTCTCAGACCAATTCATTTCACCCAGCTAAAAGCTCAGTCTATTGGGCTTTATGTGGGTCAAGTGTGGGGCTGAGGGGGTAAAATACATCTCCTAATTTGGAGCCATGGGCAGGGTGGCAGTCCACGGAGTAAACCTTGAAAGCTTTGTCCCGTGTTTCATTCCCCATTTCAGTACAAACTGATGCATAGCCACATGAGACGTTACCAGGAAAGGATTCACACTGGAAGTAGAGTTCTCTAGTTCTAGCTGTCAGATAATAATGACTTTTAGTAAGAAAAATCATGTCGTGAGCCACTTGTGTCACAAAGTTGTAATTTCTTGGGCTTTTGTTTTACAGGGAATCCTCCAGATCTCCCCCGACATGTATTTACTACAGGAATAATCGTGGCTGTATTCTTTTCACTTGTTCCTGTGCTCCTGATGGTTCTCTTTGTGATATTCAGAGTTGACTTAGTTTTATTTTACAGGGACATCACTGGAAAAGATGACACAATAGGAGGTAGGATTTGGCAAATGCTGCCATTGAAACAAGTTCATTTAGTGATATAAAACTATTAATAAAATAGTGTACTCTGGCTTCAGGTAGGCCCTATAAAATAATGAGATGGAAACAAAAGAAAATCCAGGAGAGGAGGATATTGTGTAGGAATAGATGGAGAGGGGTAAACAAGACAGGACTTGCCTAGGAAAGAAGTGTCTGTGAGTGGGAGAAAATAGCAAAGGTGACAGATAGCATTACATATTGTTTTAGCATGCGTCATCCTATAATGTGTCCTGATTTTTTCATTCTGAAAGTCAGGGATTGGTTAGTGGAGGAGAGAAAGAAGGGACGATTCTGAGAAGACGAGTACCCTGGAGCTGTCAGATTCCTTCTGCGCTCACCTGACTTGTGCTCTAGATTCATGTGCTTTCTGGAGATCACTGGAGAGATGCTGGTTCAGTGTTAATGGGGGTTGTCAATGTCTACCTTAAGGAGAGCAGGCTGTCACAAAGAAGCCATCACTTGTTGTTGACAATTGGCCAACTTGTTCTGGGTCTGATCTTTCCTTTGTGGTTTAGTTTCTGAGACAGTTTTGGTGAGACAACCCTCATAGTATCTAGATGCCTCAGATTTCCTTAACCCTTGTCAGTCTGTATATACAGTACCTAGACTGCACTAGTTGCATTGGTTGGTAATCTCTTAATAATGCATGAAGATACATTGTATGTGCCAATATTTTTTCTATTCTAATTCTATTGTTGACCACAAGGCATTGTTGACTCACTTGAGGACCTCAGAGTGCATGGTTGGGGCTACACACTTGAGGAGATCCCAGAGAGCCCTTAGGGCCTCTGTCATGTGGAGTTTTACACAGGTTTTCACTTTGTTCCCTCCTGTTAAACATATATAGGAGGGTTAGTAACAAAACTTGGGTTGTGGTGTTGACACCCAACTTGGTGTTTCTTTGTCCTCTGACTTAGATGGCACAGTGGGAAGCTTCTCCCAGTGTCTGGTAGAGATCGGGACATGGTAGAGAGTGAGGTGACTGACCTTTGATCCAGATAAAGCAAAATTGATGTTAGTAGGTTGGGGCGAAACAGTGGAAGCTAGGAAGAGGATTATGTCCATTTATTGTGATTGCAGATGTGTGTCCTTGACTTGTTTCTTGTATCCACAACTTGAGAGTCTGGTTAGATTCCCACTTTTCCCTGGATGACCAGATTTCATCAGGACTAGGACAGTCTTTTTCTTTTACATCTGGCTAGGAGGTTGAAGCTTTTACTCTTGGATACAGACCATGCTAGTGTGATTTCGTGCTTGTGTTACCTAACTGGTAGATTACTGCAGTGTGCTTTAATTAAGTCTTGATCTTAAAGCCAGCTTGTTAAGGTGGAGAATCTCACCAGAAACATGTTACACTGGTGCTTCATAACTGATAAAGGTGGACTATTGGTTTCTGCATGTACCATAAAGTTTTTGTCCTGTAAAGTCCTAAATAGCTTCGGACCCACCTACTTGAGAGAGCCTCTTTCCCCATATCTTAGTTCCACAGTTGAGATCAGTTAGAAGTGCTCAAGATGGAATTCTCTCAGTAGAAATGAGGTGGTCCATGTTTTTATGAGTACCTCTGAACTTTGGGACTTGCTTCACGGCCCTTGGTCTGAGAGAGCCTCAATTTGTTGAAAGAATAGGAGTACTTGTGGCACCTTAGAGACTAACAAATTTATTTGAGCATAAGCTTTCGTGAGCTACAGCTCACTTCATCAGATGTTCTTGAGCTATCCTTTGTTAAGCTATCCTTTTTACAATGGATTTTGGGAGGTGCTGCTTGAGGAAACTATATTTGAGGAGGACAGGGTGCTATTTTTCATTATTCAGTTATAAGGTTTAATTAGTTGCTATATATGGTGGAAGTTGCTGCTGAATTTGTCTTTATGTTTTGGTGTGTGTGTGTGTGACTAACTGCCAGCAGCACTTATGGCCTGGGAAGGTGCCTTTTTTTTGTTATGCTATTATAAATCTAAATGCATAAAATAAAATATATCCTGATTTTTTTTCCTTTTGACAATCTCCACATTGCAATACTGCCCAATAGTGGAAAAATAATAATACCTGACTCTCTTATATAGAGCTTTTTCATCAGTAAATCTCAAAGTGATTCACAGTCTTTAATGTAGGAGAAGAACTGAAAGAAACCTGGAATCCCACAATGCTGTTTTTACAGACTCACTTTTCAGGGTAAAACCATATTTTAATGATGCAAGTTTCTATCAATAAGTTCAGTTTAACTAGGTATGATTAGTGCTGGTCAAGAAATTTCACATTTCAATAATTTTCAATAAAAAAGGGACACAGTTTTTGCAACCCTTTTGGAAAACAAAGTGGGTAGATCTATTTGTGTCAGATTGAAATTGATCCTGGATATATTGTGTGAAAGGTGACTGGGCAGATGGATGAGAGAAAGCTCTTATCTCAAAATCGTTGCCAGTGGGGCGGTATTTATAAGGGTCGGGGTGAAGGGTCAGCTATCCTATGTGTAATGGGTCAGATCAGTTCAGTCACCAACAGGACAAAAATTGGTCATTTTTTTCCAGATGGAAAAGAATATGATGCTTTTGTGTCTTACCTGAAAGACTCCATATCTACCAATGTAGAAGAAAGAAAATTTGCTCTGGAGATATTGCCCAAGACATTAGAAGACCATTTTGGTTACAAATTATGTATATTTGAGCGGGATGTATCTCCTGGAGGAGGTAAGCAAATGGAATGTCCTTGGTATTAAACTGATACAAAATTCTCATAAAGATGCCAGGATCTGTAATTAGAAAGATCTCTGCAAATGTGGCATTTTTGCTTAAGTGTCTCATTTTCAAAGGGGATTCTATTTTGGGGTGCAAATGACAGAATACACATTAAACAACATGCATGTAAAATCAGAGGCTGTTTAGAAAGTTTAGACTTATTCTGTCCTTCATTTCAGTGTGTGGAGGTAACCAAAAGAAGAGTTTGATCCAAAGGCTATTGAAATTAATGGAAAGATTCCTATTTACTTAAATGGTCTCTGGATCATCCACTAGGTGCATCTTGGCCAGAGTGCATCGAGGAGGATGGGGGAGTACTAGCTCTATGACATGCTCTTTCCCTTCCTAGAACATGAAAGGCCTACAGGATTGGGTATTCATAGCTTTCAGAGACAAGAATGAGAGAGGGTGGAGCATGGTAGCAGCAGCTCTCTGTGCCATATTATTTTCTGCTCTCTGGCATACAAACTGTGACTTAATGCTTCTTCAAGCATCATTAACACCCATAGACTCCCTACCTTGGCTGCTACCATGCAGCTTGAGGGCAGGTCAACCATTAACAAAGCAGTCATCAGATTTCCCAGGATTTGCACAGATTTTATAAGACCCACTAATTTTAGAAGGCCAACACCTTTTCTCTTTCCAGCAGTGCATGGAATTGCAGCAGATTTTGAGCCCCGATGGAACAAAGATCATAAAATTCTATCAGCTAAAATATGTCACTCTGCCCACCAAACAAGAATAATCTGTGGAGGGTAGAACATTGCCCTTTATCTAGTTAAATGCTGAGATTAATTCAGGGGAGAAAAACAATTTAGCTGTAGTGTTACCACAGAATGTGAAAGTTCTGCTTTTGGCTTTCTTCCTTTTCAGAAAGCTTTCTGTTTACAGCTTGTCAGAAACCTGAGAGATCTTAATGATTTGAAAAGTAAGCTTAGCTTTACAATACAACTGCTTTTGCTGTACCTGTCCTATGATGTCCTACACACATTTTCCCCTATTTCTGTAATCTTTAAAATGTAGAAGATGAAGCCGCTTTTATTAAAACTGACTCAGAGTTATAGCTGACACCTATGTGATGGGTGCGGCAGAAATACTTAAAATAGATAGATGCGATAACATGGAATTTTGAATATACAAAGTCTATAAATAGATGACCGTTTACAAAGGCTGCAATTCTCAGACAGTACAGTGGGATTCCATGTGGTTCTGAGGTCTATAGGGGAAAAAAATGTTTAGGTAATATTTTGGCCCTGCATGAGCATATTGTTACATGTTGCTTGCAGGATATAGGGCTTCTCCATTTAATTTCATTCACTGTTTTTAATAACAAAATTATTCTGCAATCCCTGTTTTAAGAAAGCACCAGGTTTTGAAAATCTGTGAAATAATGGTTTGCTAGATGTCATTCTATAGTAATCTATACTGTTACATTTGGCAGAGGGTGCTAGTATTACACACACTTGAGGTTATCTATGGTACAGATATTACTGAATAAGAAGGTAAGAAGGTATCTGGTGGTACAAAAGGTAGTAAAGTGAGGATTAAAAGTTTAGTGAGCATTACAGGAGATGGTTAGCTGTGCATGGCTGATGACTTAATTTGGAGGTACTCTGATGTTCAGGATGGACCTTTATGGATGACCTTATCTGTTAAATAAGGAATAGCCAGAGCTGATATGTTGGTTTGTAATTGCTTTCCAACATGAAAGAAATGTATACTGACTACAGGCAAATTAGGATTCCATTGCTGTTTTGCATTGATTGATCAGAATTAAACATCTGAGATTTTTTTTCTCTCTTTTTTTTTCATATTACTTAGTAGCGTGATAGATTAGGAAGGAACAAAATATACAGTAATTTAGTCACTTTGAAATGTGTACAATATTATCACTACTGCTAAAAGAGGTCTTGAGTCAATGCTTGTACTTTCAACTGATTTTAATAATGACTGTATCTTTCAATTTACAGCCGTTGTTGATGATGTCCATTCACTTATTGACAAAAGCAGAAGATTAATCATTATACTGAGCCAGAACTACATTTCTGACCGAGTCATGTATGAACTTGAGACTGGACTGCATAAGGCACTGGTTGAAAGGAAGATTAAAATTATATTAATTGAATACATGCTTATAAGTGATTATAATTTCTTGCCAAAATCACTGGAGCTTCTACCATCCAGGAGAGTTGTGAAGTGGAAAGAGGATAAGTCTCTTCCTTCAAATTCCAGATTTTGGAAGAACCTTCGGTACCTGATGCCAGTGAAAGCTTCCAGGACAAACATCAGAAGTCACAATAATTCTATGAGCCCTACCTCAGAAGAAGAAACCCAAGCAACAACTGTGTGTTGGGAGTCTAAAACATTCTTATAACCAAAAATTGGAAAAGAAACATGCTGCAGAAATGAGCACATGGTGTTACTTATATGGAAGATATTAAGTGCATGTGTTTTAGGGAGGCAATATGGTCCAGTGAATAGAGTACCGGCAGGGACTTAAGAGATGAGACAAATCCTCAGCTTGTATAAATTGTCATAGCCCAGAGGTCTAGGTTAACCCTGCCCCTCACCCCTTGGGGCTCTGACAGTTTACACAAACAGAGGAAATGCCCCAAGGAATCTAACCTGACTCTGCCTTGGATTCATTGTGTGACATGGGGCAGATCAAAACCTTTCTGTGTCACAGTTTCTTCATTTCTCATAGAAAAACATTAATTCTACTTATACACTTTTGTAAAGCAATTTGAGGCCCGTGAATAGTCTATATTTTCAAAGTATTATTATTTAGAAATGTGATTACTATTGTTATTTATGATTTCTATTGTGATAGCATGTAAGGACTCCAATCAGGGATCAGAGCCACATTGTGCTAGGCCCTATACAAACATATAACACAAAGACAGTTTCTGCCCTAGGGAGCTCAACATTTAGGATTTAGACAACATAACACAGGTAAATAAAGTGACAAATGGGAGGAGGGGAGTGATTGGTTGGAAGAAGGGGATGGGGAGGACAAGGTAACAGTAGAAATATGGTGTATTTGCATATATCAATCCTAATAGTAGTCTCAGTAGTTACAGGTAGTCAATGCCATGACCAGTGCCAGATGGTAGTTTTTTTGTAGGCATCATGGCAAAGCAATATTTTAGTCCCTAGATTAGTGTTATTCAGGTCAGAGTACTCTGAATAACTGTTTAGGTAAGGGGAGTGGGAAATAACACTTGCTCCAGAGAGGCCAGTAGGTACAACTTGTATCTGAGCTGCTTCCAGGCGAGGGGCCTGAGGCGATAGAGTCGAGGGTCTAAGGTACTTTGATAGAGGGAAAAATAATTGCCGATATCTAAGATACCAGATTTGGTTCTCCAGTGCCTTGGCATTGTGGGTAGTTATTTACACCAGGTCAGACTGGTAGCGTTTTATACAGATTTTCACAGATATAAATGGTGACATAAGGTGCAAGACAGTGGTGAATCTAGGCCTCTATTTTGGCTTCTAGAGGAGCAGATCTTCCAAGCTTATTCAGTATTTACAAGATCCAAAGTACAAAACTGTGCAGTTGCACTTGGTCAGGGTTTCTATGATTGTGTTTTTGAACATGGCTTTCAGATATGCACATGATTATTTCTTTCTGCTTTAAGCACATGAGGACTTTTAGGAAAGTGTTCAAACTCGGGCTCTTCACAATGTTCAGCAACATCAATCAAGTGCATAGTTGATAGTAACTCACAATAGCTGGTTTAATGGGATAGGGTGAATTTCCTTGACTTTTTTCAACCTGATGCTCCTAAATCCTGCTACTACTAGAATGTTCTTGCCCAGTCTTAGGTCAAATGCGGAACTGGTTGGGAATTTTCAGTCAGCGTGATTTGTTTCTTGGCTACAGAGGAACCTGCAGGGAGAAAACAAAATTGACAAAAGGCTTCCAGGCAAGGCGGCTGACAAGACAAAAAATTCTCTTTTTGTCCTCTCATTTTTTTGAAATTTTGGGGGTGAAAATGTTTTCAAAAACATGACATTTTTTCATAGGAAGGGATTTCCATTTTCCAGCCAGCTCTAGTCAGATTTCCCACTGGATCTTCACAGACCAAGCTGAGGAAAAATAAATATGCTCTCAAAAATCCATTCAGGTGCTATGATTCAAGATTACCTCTTTGGTACTGGAATCTGAAAGGGGCGTGGTTCATATTTTTTAAAAAAGCCCCCCAAAAGCAAAGAGTACAAAATCCATTCCATCTGTAGCTATATTGACGCCACAGAATTACAAAAGGGTTAATTTAGCCCTTGGAACGTAATCCTGTACACCAGGGAACAAAGGGGGAAAAAAATCAAACATAAGTGAAGTGTCGAATTCTAAACTGTATTTCCATTACAAATACTGCAGAAGTCCAATATAAAATAGTAAGTAAGACAAGCCCCACTGATGATGAAATAAACCTTACTTGTGCCCAGAACATGGGAGAAATTGTTCAAGAGTAGTTCATTATAGGAAATGTGTTACCTCATTAATGCCCACTGCTGTTAATGAGACTCTGGATTGTTTGCTGCATGCAGCACTGTATAGAGAGTCTAAGAGCATATAGCCACAGTACTGTTTAAGGGATGATACATAGTTCCCTCATCCCAGCAGGAATTCCAGGAATTATTTTTTTCTGTTTGTAAAATTCTTCCCAGGGCACAAAGGAAGCACAGTCAGTGCATTACCTTTGGAGAAATTGCTCCATCTGCTTTTCTCTGTACCCAGCTCTCTCTGCTGGCCTCATCCTCTCCCCATTCATTGACCACTCCCTTTGTGGAAGCCAGTGTCAGGAACAACCATAACCCAATGAAATTCTTGTATTCTCTGGAAGGTGTGGGGGATTGCCAATACCTCTTCTGTCCCCTGCCTTTAATGCAGGATTTGAAGGGTTTGGGGACAGGGAGAGAGCAACACTTTGATACCATGGGAGTTGTATCACCTGCCCATGCTGTTTTGTATGTGTTCAAACTTTCTGTTACATCCGCTTTATTTGTACCTGTGTTTACAAGGCATTTCTTTCTTCCTAAATGTCCAAACTACATCTGTTTAAAGGCAGATTTCTAAATGGAATTCAATACCTCAGTCATATTGGAAACATCTTTCATTTAATTCCACCCCTCCTTTGTTAATGACAGTACTTTCTCACAAGTCTTTTCCTTTCCCCCTGGGTACCTTTGTAAAAGCCCTTCCTGTTTTTCCTACCGCCAGACCTCTCAGATAGCAGAGATGGAAGCTGAAGTGTGGCTGTAGTGCAAGGGGCTGCATTATGAAGTTACAATCCCTTTTGGTGAAAGGGAATATTCTGCTTGTCGTCAGTCGAAATTAAGTGAAAGTAAGGTCTGCACTTTTTATGGACAGAATCTGTTCAAAATAAAGACTATTGTAACCTTCTGGGACTTCTTAAATTTTGAATTATTTTTAAAAGTTTTAAATATGGATAAGTGTTGTAATTCCTGATCATGTTCATAACAACTTAATTTTAGCAGCATGGCAGAAGATATGGCATATGGTTTGGTGTTGTATAGTTATTTCCCTTTCTTTCTTTTCCTTAAGTATGAACTTAAGTAAATGACTGTTTCTTGCTATGAAATACATATATGATTTGGACCCAATGTTTGTGTCTCTTCCACAGCTATATAAGTAGTTAACCTTTCAGTGTACAGTGCCTGTTTTATTCTTTATTGGCAGCACCATAAATTTATGTAACACTTTAAAACCATAGGGGAAAAATTCCTATTGGCTTTAGTGGTGGCAACATTGGCGTCTGTAGGGTAACATCCATTTCCGGCACCAAAGAGGTTACAGCATAGCACAGATTGAAAAAGAAAGAAAGTTGAAAGATGAAATCTGATTAGAAAATTGAATTTGATGCACCAAACCAGAGAAGCCAGGAATGGGATCCAGGAGGGGAATGATGGGGTCAGAGCCTTTGGGAGCAGCATTTTGAACAGACTGGCAGGGATATAGGTGGGAAGCTGGAGCAGAGAAAGGTACCAAGGAAAGGTGAGACTAAAATGTGGACAAGGAATTTATCAGTGGGCAAAGTGATCAATTGGTGGATCTGGGTTATTTCAAGGATTTAGAGAGTTGGTGGGGGGGAGAAGCAGCGAGAGAATTCAGAGGTGAACCTGAAGTTGTTAGCCTGCGTCATGGGAAGGTAATGGAACTGGCAAAGGTGATACAGAAGGAAGTGGTGTAGAGAGATTAGGGAGAAAGATGGGATGTTTACTTTTGGAGAGAATGAGTTTCAGATGTCATTGAGTCATCTGAGAGGTGATGTCTATAAAACAATTGGAGATGTGAGAACAGGTAGCAGGTGGGGGTCAGGAGATGGGAGAGAGATTTGAAAGTAATTGGCATAGATGTGGTAGCTGAATCAGCACAATCCTGTGCTGTTGGCTGTTTTTCAACCAGCTTGTAGAGTGGTCACAGTGTTTGGAAAATTTGAAATTGAAATGAAAAATTTTCAACATTTTTTTACAAAAAATGTACCTGCATTTATCGACCAGCCCTAAAATGTAGTAGCTTTATACATGGCACCCCCTCAGAACCATGGCAAGAATTTGAGTGGAACAGTGTGTAACTAGCATTATGATGACTACTAACAGTAGGTAAGATACTGAGCTGCAAGAGTTCAAAACTAGAAATTCCAATTGTGACAAACCTAGCACAGCTGCCTGTGGGTCAGCCAGGGGAGCTGCTTCCTCAGCTTGCCTGAAAGCGGCTGCAGATAGACCATAAGGGTCCTATGTTTCCATTTCAGCTTCAATATAGGTTAGATACATGGGGGAAGACTCCAGCTAGGAAATTCCACTGGTTGCTCTAGTGTCTGGCCTCTAGTGGGTAGAGAATATATGCACCATTCAAAATGTAACTGCCATATTAATTAATGAAAAAGGATTCCCACCATAGCACAGAATATAATAGACTCATGGCTCAGTGTATTCTGTAATTCTCAAGTCCACTGACATGCTTAAAACTTTGTGTCACTCTTGTGGAGGAGACTTTGGCAGGTCTGTGGCAAAATTTCAAAAGATGGTTACAACAAGTTTCACTTTACTGTACATTGCAAGATATCACTGTGCTTCAACTGCATCAAGGGACTACCTTGCTGTGGGAGGCTGGCACAAAACAGTATGTGCCACCCTGTAGCTGGGACTTAAGACTTTAAAAAACTGAGTGGCTGAATTCAGATCTGGTATTAGCATTCACAGTGCCATCTGAGGCAAAATATGATTGAGCACTGATGTCAAAGGGGTTGTGTCAAGGTTCCTTCCCCACTCTGAACTCTAGGGTACAGATGTGGGGACCTGCATGAAAGACCCCCTAAGCTTATTCTTAAGAGCTTAGGTTAAAAACTTCCCCAATGTACAAACTTTTTCTTGTCCTTGAACCGTATGCTGCCACCACCAAGCGTTTTAAACAAAGAACAGGGAAAGAGCCCACTTGGAGACATCTTCCACCAAAATATCCCCCCCAAGCCCGACACCCCCTTTCCTGGGGAAGGCTTGATAAAAATCCTCACCAATTGGTACAGGTGAACACAGACCCAAACCCTTGGATCTTAAGAACAATGAAAAATCAATCAGGTGCTTAAAAGAAGAATTTTAATTAAAGAAAAGGTAAAAGAATCACTTCTGTAAAATCAGGATGGTAGATACCTTACAGGGTAATCAGATTCAAAACACAGAGAATCCCTCTAGGCAAAACCTTAAGTTACAAAAAGACACAAAAACAGGAATATACATTCCATCCAGCACAGCTATTTTACCAGCCATTAAACAAAAGGAAATCTAACACATTTCTAGCTAGATTACTTACTAACTTAACAGAGTTTCTGAGACTGCATTCCTGATCTGTTCCCGGCAAAAGCATCACACAGATAGACCCTTTGTTTCCCCCCCTCCAAATTTGAAAGTATCTTGTCTCCTCCTTGGTCATTTTGGGTCAGGTGCCAGCGAGGTTATCTTAGCTTCTTAACCCTTTACAGGTGAAAGGGTTTTGCCTCTGGCCAGAAGGGATTTTATAGCACTGTATACAGAAAGGTGGTTACCCTTCCCTTTATTTTTATGACATGCCCCCCAAATCACAGATAGGTAAAAAGACTAACAATATTTTCTACATCTCAAGGACAATTTTAACCAGTTGATTCTGGGAAACTTTCACGGCAGAGTGCATCAGCCACTTTGTTTGAAGCTCCTGAGATGTGTTGTATGCCAAAATCAAAATCTTGGAGAGCTAAACTCCACCCAATAAGTTTTTTGTTATTTCCCATGGCGGTATGAAGCCACTGTAGCGCAGCATGGTCGGTTTGCAGGTGGAAACGCCGTCCCCAAACGTATAGGCGTAGCTTTTCCAGAGCGTAGACAATGGCTTAACATTCCTTTTCACTGATTGACCAGTGGCTTTCCCTCTCAGACAGCTTCTTGCTGAGAAACATGACAAGATGGAACTCTTGATTTGGTTCTTCCTGCATTAAGACTGCTCCCACACCACGCTCGGACGCATCTGTGGTTACTAGGAACAGTTTGTCAAAGTTTGGGGCCCTTAGCACAGGGTCAGACATGAGTGTCGCTTTAAGGCCTTCGAACCCTCTTCAGTCCACTGCACTGCATTTGGCTGTTTCTTTTTGGTTAGGTATTTGGCTGTTTGCAGTACAAATCGTCTATAATATCCGGCCAAGCCTAAGAAGGATTGGACCTGTTTCTTTGACTTTGGGACAGGCCACTTTTGGATAGCATCCACTTTGGCCTGTAGGGGGTTGATAGTTCCTTGACTCACCTGGTGTCCAAGGTAAGTCACTCTGTTGAGGCCTATTTGACACTTCTTAGCCTTAAAGTTAGTCCTGCCCCTTTATGTGCTCAAAGACTTTTTGTAGATGTTCTGCCCAGGAATCCAAAAATATGGCCACATCATCAAGGTAGGCGACTGCATATTCTCCCAATCTTGCTAGGAGACCATCTACAAGTCTTTGGAAGGTGGCAGGTGCATTCTGCAGCTCGAAAGGGAGCACATTAAATTCATACAACTCAACATGTGTGGTGAAGGCTGACCTTTCCTTGACGGATTCATCTAGCGGTACCTGCCAGTACCCATTGGCTAAGTCCAAGGTAGAGATGAACTGGGCCCATCCCAGTTTCTCTAATAGTTCATCTGTGCGTGGCATTGGATAGTTGTCTGGACGAGTCACAGCATTTAGCTTACAGTAGTCCACGCAAAAATGTATCTCCCCATCTGGTTTGGGAACTAGAACCACTGGAGATGCCCATGCACTGCCAGAAGGGCGGATTACCCCCATCTGTAGCATATCCTGGATCTTTCGTTCTAGAGCAGTTTTAGCTTGAGAGACACCCGGTAAGATTGGGCTCTAATTGGGTGAGCATTACCTGTGTCAATGGAGTGGTATGCCCGTCTAGTCAGTCCTGGGGTGGCTGAGAACGTCGGCGCATAGCTAGTGCACAGCTCCTTGATCTGCTGTCGCTGCATAAACCCAAGGGTCATGGAGAAGTTCACCTCTCCCATGCCACCATCACTTTTCCCTTCGTAGTAGACACCTTCAGGCCACTCAGTGTCATCTCCTCCCTGGGCTGTAAACTGACAAACCTTTAATTCTCTGGAATAAAAGGGCTTTAGAGAATTAATATGGTAAATCTTAGGCTTTCGGTTGGAGGTGGGGAATGCTATGAGATAATTAACAGCTCCCAGGTGCTCTTGGACTGTGAATGGCCCTTCCCATGATGCTTCCATTTTATAGGCCTGGAGCACCTTTAAGACCATGACCTGGTCCCCTACTTGGAAGGACCGCTCTGACATGTTTATCATACCAGGCTTTTTGTTCTTTTTGAACATCCTGTAGGATTTCTTTAGCAAGGGCTAGAGAGGTTTGGAGGGTGTTTTGTAGGTTAGTTACAAAGTCCAGAATGTTAGTTCCTGGAAAAGGTGTAAACCCCTCCCATTGCTGCTTCACCAACAGTAATGGCCCCTTAACCTCGCGGCCATATACAAGTTCAAATGGTGAAAACCCTAAACTGGGATGGGTACAGCTCTGTAGGCAAAGAGCAACTGCTGCAACAGTAGGTCCCAATTATTGGAGTGCTCATTTAAGAATTTACGTATCATGGCCCCCAAAGTTCCACTAAACTTCTCCACCAGGCCATTTGTTTGATGATGGTAAGGGGTGGGAACCAAGTGATTCACCCCATGAGCTTCCCAAAGGCTTTCCATAGTTCCTGCCAGGAAATTAGTTCCTGCATCTGTGAGGATGTCGGAGGGCCAACCTACTCTGGCAAAAATGTCTGCTAGTGCCTGGCACACACTTTTAGCCCTAGTGTTGCTTGGAGCTACTGCTTCCAGCCATCAGGTGGCAAAATCCATGAAAGTCAGTATGTACTGCTTTCCTCTGGGTGTCTTTTTCGGAAAAGGAGCCAGAATATCTGCAGCTACTTGCTGAAATGGAACCTCAATGATGGGGAGTGGCTGGAGAGGGGCTTTGACCTGGTCTTGGGGTTTTCCCACTCATTGGCACACCTCACAAGACCGGACATAGGTAGAAACATCCTTTCCCGTTCCCTCCCAATGGAATGACTTTCCCAAATGGTCTTTGGTTCTCTTCACCCCAGCATGGCCACTAGGATGATTGTGGGCTAAGCGTAATAGCTTTACCCAGTACTTAGTTGGAACTACCAACTGTTTCTGAGGATGCCAGTCTTCCTGGTGTCCACCAGAAAGAGTTTCCTTGTATAAAAGTCCTCTTTCTACAACAAACCTGGATCGTTTAGAAGAGCTGAGAGGCGGTGGGTTGCTCCGTGCCGCTGTCCAAGCTCTCTGGAGGCTTTCATCTGCTTCCTGTTTGGTCTGGAACTGTTCCCTTGATGCTGGAGACATCATTTCCTCATTGGATTGTGGACCTGGGCTTGGTCCCTCTGGAAGCGATGCAGGTGATGGGGCTGTTTCCGTTGACTGTGAACTGCTCTCTGCTGGGACACTATGTTGGGGCTCAGGCTCCAGCTGAGCCTCTTGTGTAGGGTTATCGGCTGCTGCCGGTTCAGGTTCGATGGGGCCCTCTGGTGTTGGGGTTGCAAGTACTGGATTCAGTGCTGGCAATGGGTCTGGTGCTGGTTGTTCCACCGGTTCCAGTTCTGAGACTGCCTCTGTCTGGGTCTCTCTGACTGGATCCACTACTGCTGTTGCAGACGTTGGCATGGGGTCTGGTTTCATCACCTCTGACCAGGTTCTGGTAGAAGTTTCCAGAACAGAGCTAGGTGTGACAGTTTGCTTAGCCTGGCTGTGGGTGACCATTCCCACCCTCTTGGCTAGCTTCACATGATTGGCCAAGTCTTCCCCCAAACAGCATGGGGATGGGATAATCATCATAGATTGCAAAAGTCCACATTCCTGACCAGCCTTTGTACTGGACCGGCAACTTGGCTGTAGGCAAGTCAAAAGAGTTTGACTTGAAGGGTTGAATTGTCACTTGGACCTCTGGGTCAATTAAATTGGGGTCCACTAAGGAACCATGGATAGCCGACACTTGTGCTCCAGTGTCCCTCCACGCGGTGACCTTCTTTCCGTCCACACTCAGTTTCCCTCTGCTCTGAGGGTATCTGGCAGGTATCTGGGCCTGAGGACCTCTGGTGTGATTCTGGTGCAATGAACTTTTGGGGTTCTTGGGGCAGTTGGCCTTTACATGGCCAAGCTCGTTACATTTAAAACATCGTCCAGCTGACGGGTCACTGGGGCGAGGTGGGTTGCTGGAGAATGGTGTGGCAGGACGATAACGTGTCTGGAGTGTTCCTTGGGGTGTAGTTGTGGCCTTGGGCTGCCCCTGGTAGTAGGGTTTGGTCTGAGGTTATCCCTTCTGGTATCCCCTCCAACTGCGACCAGGGTTGTTTCTCTCTCTTCCCTCCACCCGTTTTGTTCCGGTTTGCCCCACCTTTCTGGCAGTCTGGGACTGCGCATATTGATCAGCATAAGAAGCAAGACTTTCCGCTGAGTCCATTTTCTTAACCCATAAACACTGTTTTATATCCTCCTTGGACATATTCAGGAATTGCTCCTGAGTCATCAAATCACACATTCCTTCAGAGCTAGTTACACCCCTTCCTTTGACCCATTTATCTAATAGATCCTTCATCTGGTTTATATAAGCCACATTACTTAGTCCAGGTCCTCTCTTAAGGGCTCTAAATTTTACTCTGTAAGTTTCAGATGTAACTTGAAATTCCTTTAAAACCAAGTCCTTGAATTTATTATAGTCAGAAGCCTCATCAATAGGCATCTTATTGAATATGTCAGTCAATTTTGCGACCAATGTGGTCATCTTGTAAGCTTCAGATATTTTATGGAGTGTGCACAGTCTCTCAAGGGTGAGAAAATATTCAGTAATATCACTGGATTCATCATACTGTGGACATAGTCATTCCCATTTGTGGATTGTTGGGTAAAGATTGTTAGGGTTATCTGGTATATTCTGCTGAGCCTTTGGCTTCTCCATTTCCAGTGCATGCTTCCTCTCTTTTTCCTTCTCCTCCAGTTCCTTTTCCCTTGCCTCCATAGCTCTCTGGTGGGCAGCCTCTCGGGCTTTTTCTGCCTCTTTCACTGCCTCCAGTCTGGTTAACTCCACTTTGTGTTGTGCCTTGGTTTCTGTCATCCTAGCCTCCCTGTTTTTAACTAACTTTACCTTTTTAACTAACTAACCCGAGAGTTAGAAAGAAAACCATAAAACAAAACCAAAAATCCTGGCTTGCAAAATTGTGCTGTAACATGATACCTATGTTCTCTGACAGCTATTCTCAGCCTACAGAAAAATCCTTTGTTTAAAAAAAACCTAACACCTCTGTCTCCAGGCAAATAGACAGAAAACCCTCTAGCTGCTCTCAGCTTAAAAAAAAAACCTCTTCAGGTCTGTGAAAAACTTGTGAATTTCCCTGCAGGAAGTTAACTACCCTGCCTTTAGGTAGAGAAACTCCAGCTCAAAAAAGAAAAATCCCTTTGTAAAAAACTAACACCTCTGTCTCCAGGCAAAGACACAGAATCTACAGCTGCAATCCTCTTTTACAAAACCTTTTAAAATCCTGCTGTGCTTCTGGTTCAAAATGATCTCAAAATGATCTAAAAAAAAAAAAATCTCAAAATGATCCCACCGCTCTGCCACCATGTCAAGGTTCCTTCCCCACTCTGAACTCTAGGGTACAGATATGGGGACCTGCATGAAAGACCCTCCTAAGCTTATTCTTAAGAGCTTAGGTTAAAAACTTCCCCAATGTACAAACTTTTTCTTGTCCTTGAACCGTATGCTGCCACCACCAAGCATGTTTAACAAAGAACAGGGAAAAAGCCCACTTGGAGACGTCTTCCCCTCAAAATATCCCCCCAAGCCCGACACTCCCTTTCCTGGGGAAGGCTTGATAAAAATCCTCACCAATTGGTACAGGTGAACACAGACCCAAACCCTTGGATCTTAAGAACAATGAAAAATCAATCAGGTGCTTAAAAGAAGAATTTTAATTAAAGAAAAGGTAAAAGAATCACTTCTGTAAAATCAGGATGGTAGATACCTTACAGGGTAATCAGATTCAAAACATAGAGAATCTCTCTAGGCAAAACCTCAAGTTACAAAAAGACACAAAAACAGGAATATACATTCCATCCAGCACAGCTATTTTACCAGCCATTAAACAAAAGGAAGTCTAACACATTTCTAGCTAGATTACTTACTAATTTAACAGAGTTTCTGAGACTGCATTCCTGATCTGTTCCCGGCAAAAGCATCACACGGACAGACCCTTTGTTTTCCCCCCTCCAGCTTTGAAAGTATCTTGTCTCCTCCTTGGTCATTTTGGTCAGGTGCCAGCGAGGTTATCTTAGCTTCTTAACCCTTTACAGGTGAAAGGGTTTTGCTTCTGGCCAGAAGGGATTTTATAGCACTGTATACAGAAAGGTGGTTACCCTTCCCTTTATTTTTATGACAGGTTGCTTCTGCTTACACCAGCTGTCAAGGTTCCTTCCTCACTCTGAACTCTAGGGTACAGATGTGGGGACCTGCATGAAAACCTCCTAAGCTTACTTTTACCAGCTTAGGTTAAAACTTCCCCAAGGTACAAATTATTTTACCCTTTGCCCTTGGATTTTCACTGCCACCACCAAACTTTATCTGGGTTCCTGAAAAAACGTAGTTTGGACACATCTTTCCCCCCAAAATCCTCCCAACCCTTGCACCCCACTTCCTGGGGAAGGTTTGATAAAAATCCTCACCAATTTGCATAGGTGACCACAGACCCAAACCCTTGGATCTTAGAACAATGAAAAATCATTCAGTTTTCTTACAAGAAGACTTTTAATAGAAATAAAAAGAAATCACCTCTGTAAAATCAGGATGGTAGATACCTTACAGGGTAATTAGATTCAAACATAGAGAATCCCTCTAGGCAAAACCTTAATTTACAAAAAAGACACACAGACAGGAATATTCGTTCTATTCAGCACAACTATTTTCTCAGCCATTTAAAGAAATCATAATCTAACACATACCTAGCTCGATTACGTACTAAGTTCTAAGACTCCATTCCTGTTCTGTCTCCGGCAAAAACATCACACAGACACACACAGACCCTTTGTTTTTCTCCTTCTTCCCAGCTTTTGAAAGTATCTTGTCTCCTCATTGGTCATTGTGGTCAGGTGCCAGCGAGGTTACCTTTAGCTTCTTAACCCTTTACAGGTGAGAGGATTTTTCCTCTCGCCAGGAGGGATTTTAAAGGGGTTTACTCTTTCCTTTATAATTATGACACCAGCTTTTTTAAAAAATCACTTCTTTCTAAGTGACAAAGTTGAAAATTGTAAAAGTAAATGTTGTTTTAAGAAAATTGATCTCAAAAATATCTTTTAAACACTCCAACATGTTGTGGATATTAGCTTTGCTCTGTCCCCACCCACAGACTTTCTATCTGTACATTACTATATCTAGGTACTGGCCTTTTGCTGGCCAGAAGTCGGGGCGAGACAAGCGTCCTCCCGCCGGGAGCGGGCCGTGGAGCCGGGAGCAGCCTGGGCTGGCCGGCTGAGGAGCCCGGACTCAGCCGCTGCCGCCATGGTGTTCTACTTCACCTCCAGCGTTGTTCCCTCCGTTTACACAATTGGTAATTGATTGGTAATTGATTGGTCCTGCTTTGAGCAGGGGGTTGGACTAGATGACCTCCTGAGGTCCCTTCCAACCCTGATATTCTATGATTCTATGATTTACATGGGAAAAGATAAATATTAAAATGAAGACCTGATAAAATATGGCTGGACTGAAGATATTTGGTTTCATGTGGATAAGCTCTCCTCTGCACACATGTACCTCCGATTACACAAGGGGCAAACAGTGGATGATATTCCCAAAGAAGTTTTGATAGACTGCGCCCATCTAGTGAAGGCCAATAGCAATCAAGGCTGCAAAATGAACAACATCAATGTGGTGTGTACGCTGTGGACCAACCTGAAGAAAACGGCTGACATGGATGTGGGACAGATAGGGTTTCACAGACAAAAGGATGTGAGAACAGTGACAGTGGAGAAGAAGGTGAATGAGATACTGAACAGGCTAGAGAAGGCCAAAGTGGAGCGGTTCCCTGACCTGGCTGCTGAGAAGGAAGCCCGGGACAGAGAGGAGAGGAATGAGAAAAAAGCCCAGATCCAAGAGGTGAAACGGAAAGAGAAGGAGGAAATGAAGAAAAAGAAAGAAATGGAAGCTCTCAGGAGCTACTCTTCACTAATGAAGTCTGAGAACATGTCTTCCAACCAGGATGGCAATGATGCAGATGACTTCATGTGAATTGGGCACTCTCCCCTTTCTGAATCGTGAGATGGACTCCATGTCTTAATTTTTCACCCTCAATAAGATGCCAAAAAACCAAATTCTGACTTCAGTTTCAGACCCTGTTTGAACCTTCACTGGCAATATCTGACCAGATCTGTGCCATGTATCTCCTAAAGACAGTATCTTAACTGTGTGTGTGTGAGAGTGTGAGAGAAAGAGAGTGGGGGGGGGGGGAAGGAGCATACATTCTGGTTCTACAAGGATCTTGATATATTTATTTTGAGGGAGGGGCTCTTAATGTGAGCTACAGGAGTGTTGTGCTGCCTTAGTGAATTGGCAATAGACTTATTTAAAAAATGTTTCCATTACTGTAATGTCTCCCTGGTATAAATTCAAACCTGAAATCAGAATTGCTGGCCTGAGGACTCTGCTCCCCTCTTGCTGAGTGATTCTTGTTGATGGGATGTGTGTGTTCATCAAAACCAGGGGATCGCTATAAACCAGGGGAGCCTGTATTTCGCCCAACTGATGGGCAGATTGAAAATCTGCCTGGAGCCAGAGAGCTCCACCTATCTTGTAAATGTAGCAAAGTGTAGCTGCCCTCGTTTTAATATGGAGCTGCCGCCTCTGGACACGAGTCTTGGCCTGCATAGCAGCCTGACCACTCTGAGTGAGGTGGAGCAATGCATGCTGGGGGTGTGGTGTCACAGGCTGCACACCTGTAGATGAGGATAGTCCTAAACTGGACTGGGCTACACGCATGGCTCCGCTTTTCTAAAGGATTAACTTTGCAAATAGAGTGTTGGGGTTTGAAAAGCCCATAAGCCGACTCGGAACACTTGACTAAGTAACTCGTGATGTGGTGTGGATAATAGTACATTCAGAATGATGGTGTAACTATCGCAACATGTGTATATATGTTAGAATTAAAATCATAACAGCTGTTAAAGCAAAAAAAACAAAACAAAACAAGAACACTGGCCTTTTACCTAAGTGCCTATGATGCATGGTGCAACCATGATTGGGAAATTCCCTAACTCTGTGGCTTGTACTTTTCTGCAGCAAATTAGAATAATCTGCACGGAATGAAGTGCCTTCTACTATAATACAAAGTAGAAACTGGGGCGTTTAATTCACTGGGCTAAATTCTGCTCTGTTATATGCATGTAACCGCCCTGACTTCACAGTCTGCTAGGTGTGAATTTTCCTCTCAACCGTCTCAATTTCTGGCGCCTACTGCTAAAGCAGCACTAGCAGCTCTGACTCATGCTAGGAAACGGAATTAAGGGTTGGAAAATTCTTTACCTACTCTGTGAGTGTGTGGCATTAACCAGAGCCCAGGATGGGAGTGATGTGCAGCTACATTACCCCAGTGGGGTATCACAAACCTATGGAGGCACAATCCCTCCCAGCGCTCTAGGCACTGCCTGGTAAGTGTGCACTCTTTTCCCCTCACTTTGGTCAGTCAGCTTCACAAGCCAGCAAGGGGCAGAGGTGGTGGAGCCATGGGCCCATCTTTTCCCCTGTTATTCATACAGGAAGTAATCACTGTGCTTTCCTGAGCAGAGTCACTGTAATTACCTTTGGCCATTGCACTAGGTATGCAAGACGTGGTGGGCAGAAGGGGAGAGAGGGGAAGACTCCTTGAGTTTGCTTTTTTCCTTCCTCCTGCGTACTTGCTTTAGAGATACAGCTAATCTGGTCCTGTAAAATAGAGATGGGTGGAGACAATGGTTTTAGTATCCATCTTACTTTTAAAACATGGATAGAAGCTAAGGCTCGGGTTTGGATTTGACATTCTTGAAATCTGATAAGATTTTGAGGCAAAATGGTGGAAATCTCATTAGATCAGCTGATCTTGTGATAAGCTTTGATTCAGAACCCTTCGAGACTTGTCCTCCCAAGACTTCCACTCTGTCTGAACTGGTACCATAAAAATTAGACCCTTTCCAGCCAGGGCCAGATTTCTAATTAGGCACAGTAGGCATGTGCCTAGGGGTGCCAGAGTTCTAGGGGTGCCTAAAAGTTAAAAGTGGGTTAAAAGTTTCATTTTTTAAGGAAAACACAAAGGTCAGCTATAGGCATGGGAGGCACTGAAGATGCTGTGCCTAGGGGCATGTAAGGTGTAAATCTGGCCCTATTTCCAACCTTAGATCTGTTCTAGAATCAAACCTATAGGGCCTGGTGCAGCTTAAATATGACCTTTATCTCCGGTATTCAAAGGGGTCAGGGTTTGAGTTTTGGACTGTTCCTTCCTATACATTTGAATGAAACAAATACATTATTTGGAGATTATTACACTCACTGTTGTGAAAGTAGAATGAATTATATTGAAATTATAATTCATTAAAGAAATGCATCTGGTGGGTTTGTTGAAATATAGTTGTCAGGAAGGGAAACATTAAGGAGTGTGAGACAATGGGTCCTCAAACTAATTAACTTAGAGCTCCTACTGAGCTAGGAGATTGATAAATGTTAGTATGCAAATAAGATATGTATGTATATTTGTCAGTTTCTGCTTCCTTTTGTCTCTTATGTTAAATTGGCTTTGGCTTATCTGTATAAATAGGTTAGCTTGAGCCTTTGCAGAGGGCTCACATATCTGGTTGCATTGGCAAAGCGCTTTGCTAATAAACAGACTGGTCTGACAAATTCTGTGAGCCTTGGATCTGACTTTGAAACTGCCTAAAAGTGTGCAGTAAGTATTATGGGAGTGGGGTGGGGGAGAGAAATAACCATTGCATGCAATGGTGTCAGCCATGGCTTGACTGCTCTTGTCCATGTTGTGCTCCATGAGCTCCTCAGGAATTCATGCCCCAAGGAGGGAGTGAGACATGGCTACGCTTTTAGATAGTGTTTGTTGACCTGACCTGTGTGTCAGCTGGTAAAGAGGAAGGTTTGGGGGGGGGGATCGTTGCAGAGAAGTGTTTTAATGTACACATTTCTGACAAGTGTGAACGACCATAAAATAAAGGAATGAAAGCGCCAAGAGCTAGAACCAAGTGCTAGAGAGGAAGAATGGACTTGTGGACAAGGTGCTGGCTTCAGGCTAATAATACCTGGCTTCAGTTCCTGTTCAGTGTTCTGTTGTAAGCTAGGGCAAGTCACTTGATCTTTCCACACCTCAGTTCTCCATTTGTGAAATGCGGATAACTATTACCTTCCTTTCTTCCAACCTACGTCTGTTTTGTCTTTTAGATTGTAAGCACACTGGGGCAGGGACTGTCTCTTCTTACCATTTGTATGTATCGTGCCTAGCACAATGGAGCTCTGATCTTGGTGGGAGGGCTATGTTTTTCATGAATATAAAAAATAATAATCATATGCTTTTGACATATTATGGCTGTCCTTGTGTTGAAAGGACTAATTTTCACTTGTTGGGGTTTGAGCACCAGTAGTTTGCAGTCGCAAGTCATCAGTGAAACATTTGTTGAGAGATTCTAGAGATATCACTTTAAAAAGCTTTGAGAATTAGTACAGGTGACGATCAGTAAGGATCCTTGTAACGCGCTGAAAGGGGATTGCTGCCTCTTATGTTTTATTAAATTTAAAAATTACCCTTTTAAAAGTAGAGCTTTCCGATTATTCAAAGCAATCAACTTCTCCTTTCCTACAGCGCAAACCTTTTCACAGATGCCAGGCATACTGTAGATGAGCACTAAGAATACCAAAAAAAAAAGTAAAATAACAAAACAAAATGGCCCCACCATCGTTGCCTGTCTGAGGGCTCAGTTCCGCAAGGTGCAGCAGACTGCCTGTGGAGTGCTGTGCACCCTCTAACCCTCATTGACTGCATTGGATGTTGAGGACACTCAGCATTTCTCAAAAGGTGCTCAGCATCTTGGCCATTGACCATGGGAATGTGTGTGTATGTGTAAATCTATGGCAATATTGGACTGACTTTTATAACCCTCTTAGAGCAAGAAGTCCATATTTTACTCCTCATGATGGCAAGATCCTGAGCAAAGTGTGCATCCAACAGTCAGGGAAGCCATTGTGGCAGCAAGAAAGAGCTACATATGTAAAGAGAAAGACCAAGCCCTAATGTTTTTGATAGACGCGTTCACATGGCTGGACCTCTGGACCCATATGGAGCCACACTGAAGCCTGTGAGGTTGTATGAAGGGTGTTCAGGGTCAGGCCTATGTGATGTCACTATGCCTTACTGGGAGGGTGAGAACAGGCTGGAGCAGGATGTGGTAGCCCATGTTTTTTTGGCACAGAGAATAGGATGCAGGAAATATGGCATATATTGCTCAGTTAAGGAGTGGGTGTCAGACTGTCTGGAATGGCTCATGAAACGTTGGTGTCAACCTCAGGGCAGGTTTCAGAGTAGCAGTCGTGTTAGTCTGTATTCGCAAAAAGAAAAGGAGGATTTGTGGCACCTTAGAGATGTTCACGAAAGCTCATGCTCAGATAAATTGGTTAGTCTCTAAGGTGCCACAAATCCTCCTTTTCTTTTTGCGAACCTCAGGGCAGACTGTGAAGAAGCAGGACACAAACCCCAAACGGGCCGTGAGTTCCATACTTAGATTTCACCAACCACGTCTCGAGTACAAATGCCTCAAGCACTACAACAGTCTTACCATGGAGTCACAGACAGCCTATCTTGCCACCCAGGCAAACCTGCCCTTGTGATTAGATGGTCCCTTGTGTGAAAAATAGAATATTCCCCTTACTCCCAGCACAGGCGCCGACTTTTATTTTTCCCCAGGGGTGCTCCACCCCAGCTCTGCCCTGAGGCCTCTCTCCTCCCTGACGCCTCACCCTCCCTCCACCTCTTCCCGCCCCTACTCTGCCTACTCCCCCCGAGGCCCTGCCCTCGCCTCAGCTCATCCCACCCCTGCTCCACCTCCTTCCCCAAGTGCCTCCCGCCAGCTGCCGAACAGCAGATCGGCAGCTGATTGGTGGCCCTGCTAAACAGCTGTGGCTGGTGGGTGCTGAGCACCTCCTATCTTTTTCCTGTGGGTGCTTGAACCCCGGAGCACCCACGGAGTTGGTGCCTATGCCTCCCGGTCCCAAAGGACCAGTCAGTTACCCCAGATCAATTGTACTTTAGATCTCTCACCAAAGACAATGCTTGTAGCCCATCCTGTAATTAACT